AGTAAAAACATCACCACACACACACACACACACACACAAAAAAAAAAAAAAAAAAAAAAAAAAAAAAAAAAAACCTGCACAAGGAGCGGCCAGAGAGATGGCTCCATGGTTAAGAGTACTTGCGGCTCTTCCAGAGGACCAAATAAATCATGGCAGATCCAGATGATGGGGCATTAACTAACCAGAGCTCTCAAGCCGGGAAAAGACAGACAGAAAACTTCAGTGGGTATGACTAAGTGAAAGATGCCAAGCTAGAAAGACCACACCATGTAGGAGGCCAACTCTCCAACATCCTGGGAAACACAAAACTATGGGAACAGTGCGTTGATCAGTGGTTGCCAAGGACTGAGAGGAGAGGAGAAATGGGGAGCAAAGGGATCATCGGACAAGGAAAGTACCCTACATGCTACCCATGAGGGCAGGCATGGATCAACATACAAATGTCCAACCAACAGGGTTCACCAAGAGTGACCTGTAATGTGAAACACGGACTCTGGTGAGCATGGCATGTCAATGATCTGTGGAACAAATGCACTGTTCACGTGGACCAGTGGGAGCTGATAAGCAGGGAGGCAAAGCATGATGGTGAGGAGTATGGGGGAAATCTTTGTACCTGACTCTAAATTTTATTGTGAATTTAAGACCATTCTTAAAAATTCTTTATGGCTTTTTTTTTAATGACTAAATAGTCAGCTCATATTTATTCGGTGTTTTGGAAGTCTGATCACCAAATCATCCAAACTAAGGGAATAAACTTTCTACTGAAACTGAAACAGGTTGAGAGAATAGTTGGGTGTATTTGTGGCTTTTGAACTGTAACTTCAGTGATAACAGCTAACCAGCACCTGTGTGCTAAGCACTAGTCTAAAAGCCATTTGGTCCCCACAACTGCCCTATAAGGTAGACACTGTGGTCATCGTCATTATGTGAGTAAGGGAACTGAGTCAGAGAGCAGTGGAGTTATTTTCTCAGAGTCATATAGCTAATAACTGGAGGAGGTGGAGTCTAGGCGGTCTGACTCACCGTCTGTGCTTAGCCACAACCTAACACCCTGTGGGTGAGAACCAAGAACTCCGTGGCTCCACCCTCCTCCTACTGAAAAGGGGTGCTAGTCATCACCTCTTTCCCAGAGAAACCATTTGCAGAGGTGCTAACACACCACAGGCTGATTCTCAGGAGAAACACTGGGAATCTAGCAGCAAAACAAACCTCATCCCTGTTCAAGAATCGTGTTTTTCTGGGCAAGCAAGGTGGCAATAGGTAAAGCTTTGAGTTGGATCCCCCAGGTCTACATGGTGGAAGGAGAAAACGGACACCTGGGAGTTATCCTGTGATCTTCACATGCATATTGCAACACACATATGCACACATGCACACACACACACAAAATTTACATACATACATAAAAAGGTTTTCAAATGAAAATGCTCTTCTAAAATAGCCAAGAGAAATATAAAATATGCATCTTTAAAGTTTTTAAATTGTTTCTTAGCAATTTTGTGTGGGTGTCATTGTGGGTATGTGGACACAGCATACCACGGCACACATGTGAACCACAGAGGACAACTTGCTTCTGTAAGTCATCTACTTCCAGATCATTAAAGTAAGACAGTAATGAGAAACTCCGTGCTGAAATGAGACGTTGAAACAGCATAAGATTCAGTTGAATTTCTTGGAATACCCGCAACGTGCACAGAATGCCACACTTTAATACCTAGTAGATTCTCAAGAAATGACGGGTGATATATTGCTCTCTGACCATGCATACATAATCTGAAGAAACAAAGACATAGATAGAAGGGACCCAGGGAACTTGTTCAAGTCATCTTCTATTTCCAGAAAGTTCTAAAGCATATTTATATTTTTAATGTTTTAGTTTAGAGGGCTAGAGAGATGGTTCCGCCATTTAGAGCACTGGCTGCTCTTGCAGAGAACCTACATTCAATTCCCAGCACCCACAGGGCAGCTCACAGCTGTCTGTAACTTCACTTCCAGGGGACTCAACACCCTTTTCTGGCCTCTACCAGAACCAGGCACACAAGTGGTGCACAGACATACATGCAGACAAAACATTCATATACACAAAAATAAATTAATTAATTAAACTTTAGAAAGCATTAGTTTACAGGAAATCTGTGAAGAGATGACCTATGCATAAACACCAACTGTGTTCTAGGAGTTAAACATCATCTGTCCTGCTTTGAAGGAGAAGTCTGTGATCTGTGCGGCCATGTTATTTCCAGAGCCAGCTCATCTCCAAAATAGTTCTAATAATATGTGCTTAACGTATTCTGCAAAAGATAAGTTAATTAGTATTTATAAGCTACCTGGAGATAAATAGATTGTGTTAATAATACTTTGCTGTCTCATTAGTGCTCTTATCTTTAAAAAAAAAAAAATCCCAGTCTTACAAACTATCACTCTGCCAACACACTGTTTTGGTTCTTTCATTCGTGGGAAACATTGGCAAAAAAAAAAAAAATGTAAAAAGTTGTCCAAGTCACAACAAAAAAACACTAATAATTCTCTGGCTACAAATTAGAAATCTTTTTTTTCTTTTTTCTTTTTTTTTTTTTTAATTTTATATAAGAGATTTTCTAGTCCTTTTACATATCATCCACGGATTCCCCTGTTCTCCCTCCTCCCAGCCCCCAGCCTTCCCCTCCCAATCCACCCCCTATTCCCACCTCCTCCAAGGCAAGGTCTCCCCTGGGGGGTCAGCCCAGCCTGGTAGACTCAGCTGAGGCAGGTCCAATCCCCTCCTCCCTGCACCAAGGCCGAGCAAAGTGTCCCAGCATAGGCCCTAGGTTCCAAAAAGTCGGCTCATGCACCAAGGACAGGTCCCAGTCCCACTGCCTGGTGTCCTCCTAAACAGTTCAAGCTAATCAACTAACTGTCTCTTATCCAGAGGACCTAGTCCAGTTCCACGGGGGCTCCTCAGCTATTGGTTCACAGTTTATGTGTTAGAAATCTTATAGTACACTGATACGTGTATAATTGATACAAAATAATTTTGTATCAATTATTTTTAAATATCCGTGCTTTTTAAATGCATGCATTCTAGTCCACTGAAGAGCTCTTGTCTTGCAGTGACAAATATCTGCTCTTTCTCAAAATTCAAGATCTACAACATTGAAAAATCTCATTGGGGAAAGAACTCATGTTTCCAAAACTAAACCTGTAATCAGTCGACCAATCAATTTGTACCCATCGTAAGTGATAGCAACCTGGCCCTGTCTGACGTGTCCACCTTATTATAATAATACAAATAATTAACATTTATAAAGTGTCTGTGCCCTTTAGACTGTCTCATAGTCACTCATTATTGGAGCTGCCGCTGAAGCCTTTGACTGACACACTCGGATGTGATTACATTTGTTTGTTCCTGGAGAAGTGAAATGGGGCTCATCTCCCCGGGGCTTCATGGAAGAGAAGGCGTCTGCTTCCCCACGACAGCCAGTCGCCTGGGTACCAGATCATGCATTTCCTAGGTAGTGATGGAAACAGCCCTCTCCTTCATGTATTTTGTTCCCCACTGACTAAGGTGAAGCTTGTGTCTCAAAGTCACAACGCTTTATGTGCACAGATGAAAACCAGTGAACCGTGATGGAGTGGGAAGGTGCATGCCTGGAATCACAGCATCTGGGAAGGCAAAGGCATCAGGAGGATCAGACAAACTTCAAGGTCAATTTGATCAAGGTCAGCTTATATCTAGTAAACTCCAGGCCAACTAAGGTGATATAGTGAGACTTTGTCTCAAAAAAAAAATAGTTTTTTTAAGGATAGAAGGCAAACAATTTGGAGTCTCAGTAGTTAGCTGAATTGATGTTCTGCTCCTAGACCAAAAAAAGAAAAAAAAAAATCTCACGGGGCTCAGTGCTATGTGTCTGCAATACCAGCACTCAGATGGCTGAGAGAGGAGAATTGGAGTTCGAAGCCAGTCTTGGCTCAGTGAGACCCATCCGGAAAGTTACTCTGGAGCTTGTTACTCATTTTCAACGTGTTACAAACAAGTGCAAGGGGCCGGTAAGAGAACGAAAGTGTAAAGTGTTTGCTGTGCAAGCCTGAGGCCCCTGGTGATCCCCAGGGGCCGTGTGAAAAAACCAGGGCCTTGGCCTTCTGCTTGCCAGCCCAGCACTGGGGAGGCAGAGGCATGCAGATCTTGGGGCTCCCTGGCCAGCAAGCCTAGCCTGCTTCACAAGTTCCAAACCAATGAGACCCCCATCTCAAAAAACAAGCAAGGTGGATGACGGAACACCACCACCCTCTGGCCTCCACTCCTGTGTGCACATACATACACACACATGTGCATCAGCACACACACACACACACACACACACACACACACACACACACACACACCCATGAGTATATACATACATATACATGTGCATCAGCACACACACACACACACACACACACACACACACACACATGAATATATACATACATGCACATGCAAAAACAGATCAAGAATTCTTACTGGCAAAAGATTACTAAATAGGGAAAGCTTCCGTCCCGGTAAGAAGGAAAACAGTAAAGTTGGGACAACTGAGATATTCTAGTGCATTTCTACACCAAGGGGGGCAAATATTTCTAACGTGAATTCTTCGTTACATGTGGGAGGGTCTCTGCTCTTTCCCAGGGGTCAAAAGGGTATAAACCCTCATCTTGGTGACACAAACGATGGTTTTCTCTCTGTGATCTACGGGGCTATGATTTAGTGTTACTAAGACTGCAAGGCTATGAATTAGGATCACTGTCCCTGGCACCTTTTTCATGTATAAAAAATATCCTTGGGGCACTTTGCCACCTCCTGGACACTATTAAAAATCACCCAATTATGAAAAATAGCAATTAGGATCCGACTAATGTTTTATTACAGATCGGCGTAGCTGAGATTGAGTCCTATAAAGGCTAGTGGGGTTGTCACCCCGTGGAAGACAGACCTTGGCTTTGCACCTCTCTGGGGAGGAAGGTCGCCGGGCTGTGCTGTCGCCATGTCTTTTCGATTTTCTGGGGGATCCAGGGTCTGCTCTAGAGCCGGGTCTGTCAGGCTGTCCAGGGGAGGGGCGGGCTTTGTGGCTGGGAATGTGTGTGTTGGGCCCGGAGCAGAAAGCAGCTTTTCTTGCACCCTTGGGGGAATCTCTTCTGGGGGAGGCTTTGGCCATGGCAGTGAGGTGTCAGGAAGGGTTGGTGGCACTAGTTTCCTTAACAACGAGCCTGGGCTCTTCTCTGGGAATGAGAAAGTGACCATGCAGAACCTCAATGACCGGCTGGCCCTGTACCTGAACCACGTGAGTGCTCTGGAGGAGGCTAACACTGACCTGGAGAAGAAGATCGAGGGCTGGTATGAGAAATATGGGCCTGGCTGTGGCCGTGGACTTGACTATGACTACAGCAAGTATTTCTCAGTCATTGAGGATTTGAAAAGACAGGTAAGAAATGCAGATCCCCATCCTGTGGCTATAGGCATGGGGTGGGCATAATTCAAAGCAAAGGAAACTTAAAAAGTATTTAGCAGTGGAGTATGGTGGCACACCAGTCATCAGAGCTACTAAAGAGGCTGTGACAGGGCATCACAAGGCTGAGGCTGGCCTGGGAACTTAGAGACCCTACCCCAATTAAAAAAAGAAAAAGCTAGAACTATAATAGTAGAGCTTTTGCACAGCAAGCCTGTGACTCTCGTTTCAGTCTCCAGTATCATAAATGAGCTTAACCAATTAATTCATTTCAAATGTACTTACCAAGTGTATGGGGTGTGGAATTTGCCCACTTTTTGTTCCCAGAGTTAAGGGTGGTACCTAATAATTTTTTTTAAATGTAGAATCAAATAGTGAAAGAGAAATAGCTTCAAAATCAATATAAATTGAGCCAGGCCTGGTGATACAGTCCTGTAATCTCAGCCACACCAGAGGCTGAAGCAGAAGGATCATAAGTTTGAAGCCAGCCTTGGTAATTTAATGAACTCCTATCTCAAAACAAAAAATTAAAATGAGAGCTGGACATAGTCCAATAACAGAGTGTTCAACCAGCGTGCAGTACCACAAGGATGTTGCATTAATTTTTTGTTTCTGATTTTTAATTGATACTTTTTAATGAGTAACAATGAAATTATCTGTGGGGCTCTTTATTATCTGAATTTTATCCATGGTTATTTCTTGTTGCTATCTAATATGCTAGGCAATAGCTCTACCATTGAGTTACACCCCAAAGCCAAGTTTCTTTAAATATCCAAATAAAGATACCAGTATAAACATCTGAGACAGAGTCACATTGATGTTGGAATGTCCTTTGATCTGTCCCATTCAGATCGTTTCTATGACCACCTGTAATGCCAACCTTATTCTTCAAAACGACAATGCCAGACTCACAGCTGATGACTTCAAGATGAAGTAGGTGAACATGATGTGATTATTATTAATAATGGCTAAAACTACAGCCACACTTAAAGAATGTATCTCTTGTTTTTAAACCCTATTTGGGGTATTTTATTTTATTTTATGTATATGGGTGCTTTGCATGTATGCCTGTGCATGACTTGTGTGCTTAGTACCCTTGGAGGCCAGAAGAGAGCATCAGATCCACTGAAACCAGAGTTACAGACAGTTGTGAGGCACCATATGGATGCTGGGAGTCAGATGTGGATCCTCTGGAAGAGTAGTCAATGGTCTTAACCACTGAGCCACCTCTCCAGCCCCCCCCCCAACTAATTTAATGAAACCACTCTAGATCAACAAAGAAGTAGAATTTAATAATCTTTATAAAAAGATCTATCATACATTGTTTAAAATCTGACACTATTTTATTCTGACATGTTATTGGATGGCAAAGACCAACTGTAAAGAAATAGCAACTCTAAAACGATGTATTTATAGGGGCTGGGGTGTGAGTAAAGGCTTTGCCACAAAATTGTGAGGGTCCACCTGAGTTCAGACCCCCAGCATCCACATAAAAAGAAGGGAAGAGCAACACACATGTGTAATTCCAGTGCTGATGTGATGGAGCCAGGACAGGCTTGCTGGCCAGCTAGTCTGGACAAATTGGTGAGCTCCAGGTTCAGTGAGGGACCCTGTCTCCAAAAAGAAGGTGGCAAGTTATTGAGAAAGATATCCAGTATTGACCTCTGACCTCTGCATGCACACCCTCATGCAAACATTATATACAAAAAATAGTACTTATAAACTAACAGGTATCTCAGACTATCTTAATAGTTTGCCATCGCAAGAAGCCTCAAAAATACATACAGAAACCGAACACGCCACCCCTCAGCGTACAAAGTGTCTTTACAAGTTGTACCCACTGGTAATCACAATTCTAAAACACCTTCACACCCTTTAAGGTATGAAAATGAGCTTGCTCTGCACCAGAGTGTTGAGGCTGACACCAACGGTCTTCGCAGAGTGTTGGACGAGCTGACGCTTTCTACAACTGACTTGGAAATACAGTGTGAGGCTCTGAGCGAGGAGCTGACATACCTCCAAAAGAACCATGAGGAGGTAAGGAAGCCCGCAGAACAGCCTTGCACACCATTTCCTTCTTCGAGTTCACTATTCATTCCATACCATCGTTTGGATGTCAATCAAAATCCTCTCCTGAGTAGTAATGACTATTACCCCTTTCCAGGAAATGGGCGTCCTGCAAAACGCATCAGGGGGGAACATCAATGTGGAGATGAATGCGGCCCCCGGTGTGGATCTAACGGCCATGTTGAACAACATGAGGGCGGAATACGAAGATCTGGCTGAGCAGAACCGAAGAGATGCAGAGGCCTGCTTTAAAGAGAAGGTACATCCGCGGCAGGTGCCACGTTAGGGGCTCGTTCAGTAAACAGTCAAGCAGGTTCCTAACCCGTGTGGCAATTCCTCTTCAGAGTGCAACGCTGCAGCAGCAGATTTCAGATGACGCGGGAGCGGCCTCGGCAGCCAGAAATGAGCTGATGGAGCTGAAACGCAGTCTGCAGACTCTGGAGATAGAACTTCAGTCCATCTCAGCGATGGTACGTAAGAACTGGCCGGGCGGTGGTGGCGCATGCCTTTAACCCCAGCACTCGGGAGGCAGACTCCAGGCAGGTCTCTGTGAGTTCGAGGCCGGGAAAGGCACAAAGCTATACAGAGAAACCCTGTCTCAAAAAAACAAAAAACAAAAAAACAAAAACAAAAAGAACGGACTGGAGGCGTTTCCACTGCTGCAGCAAAACACCCCAAGCGGGATTAGTTTGTAAAGAAAGTTTATTCCTTCACTGTTTTGGAAGCCGCAAACCCAAAGCACCATGGCCCCAACTATGGCAACGCCCTCCCCAGCTACATCTCATCACGATGAGTGGCATCCTGACAGAAGTTTGAGCATCGTGAGACACAAAGCCAGAGTACAGGGAGGGACACCACACAAGTGTTTTAAAATAACTCTCTCTGGAGAACTAACCAGGGTCTGACCAGAACTGAATCAACTTACTCCAAGAGCAGTGCCCTCGGTGACTTAACCTCCCCCTAGCCCCACCTCTTAAAGGTCCCCACATATCTTAATATCACCATACTGGAACCAAGTTTCTGATACATAAATCCTTGAGGAGACATATTCAAATTACATCCAAAACCTAGCATTATATGTGCATAGGTAAGTAAATGCATATATGCAATGAATATTCTTAATATTTTATTTTATGTCTACGAGAGTTTTGCCTGCATGTATGTATGCACATCATGTATGTGCCTGGTGCCTGTGGGGGTCAGAAGAGGATTCAGATCCCCTGGAACTGGAGTTACAGATGGTTGAGAGCCACCATGAAGGTGCTGGGAACCCAGGTCCTCTGAGAGAGCAACAAGTGTTCTTGACTGCCAAGCCATCTCTCCAGCCCCTATAAGATGAATGTTTATAACACTAAATGTAGTATATATATAATTAAATGACCACAATATACTATACTAAGTAATATGAATTCCATAATTAAATGACTCAATATGTTAAGTAACAGGAATTCCATCCTGGCACACCAATCCCAAACATCAACATTATTTTCTCGATGAATCTCACCAGTTTGATTTTCAATTGAAAACATGCACACCTTGCACGAACACTTCCTTCTAGGTTAAGAATGTTTCAGTACAGACATGTCACCCTCTCCTACCCATCACCCTTTTCTTTTCTTTCAGAAACAGTCGTACGAGAGTTCCTTGGCTGAGACCGAAGGGAATTACTACAGTCAACTCCAGCAAATCCAGGAGCAGATCCGGGTGCGGGAGGAGCAGCTGCAGCAGATCCGAACAGAGACGGAAGGCCAGAAGCTGGAGCATGAGCAGCTGCTGGGCATCAAAACGTGCTTAGAGAAGGAAATTGACATGTACTGCAACTTACTAGATGGAGAGGAACGGTGAGCGCTAACATGTGAAACAGCAAAATGTGTGGTAACTAGGTTTTTATATGTGTTTATTGTAGATGTGTTACATATCACATAAGTGTATTATGTGCTTAAGACAAAAGTATAGCATATATTACATATTTAGAATATGTTCTTTTTATTTTATGATATATAGCATATTATATCCTAGAACTTCTTAAAATCATATATATATATATATATCTTCAATTATGTACATTATTGCATCCAATGAAATGAAAACAGACAGAAATTTGACATCAAAACTTACTTTTGGCTTGAGTGTTGTGGTTGTTGTTGAAGATGATGATGATGATTTTGAGACAATTATTATGTAGTCCAGACCCTGAACTCTGTGATCTTCCAGTCTCAGCCTCCTGAGTACTAGGAATATAGGCATGGGCCATACACATAGCCTAGAAATCAAAGATCTAAGTATGGAAAATGTTTATTTGCATGCATAATTATATGAAAGACAATTAAATGCAAAATCCTTGGTCATTCCAGTATTCTGGTCCAAGGAAAAATTTGCTTTCTTTTATGTTTATCTTTAAATACATTTTTAACCCCACACATACTCTCAAGTTCATAATGATAATTAAGAAGATTTCACTGCAGCCGGGCGGCAGTGGCGCATGCCTTTAATCCCAGTACTCGGGGCCAGAGCCAGGCGGATCTCTATGAGTGCAAGGCCAGCCTGGCCTACAGAGTGAGATCCAGGACAGGCACCAAAACTACACAGAGAAACCCCATCTCGAGGGAAAAAAAAAAAAAGATTTCACTGCACTGGGGGTCTAGTGGTGAGCACAGCCACCTCCTAGAAGATGTCATTAGAGAGACATCAGAGATTGCTAGCCAAGACCCCAAAAGCCCCAGAATTGCGGTCCTGGGTGTGAATCACATCCTGAGCAAATTTAAACACATGGTTAAACCTCTTTGAACCACAGTTACCTTTTTGGTAAAGTTGTGAATACAACAAAATCACACTCTTACCTGCTCTCAGCTACAGCACCTCACCATGAAGTGCCTTGACAGAGGCTGACTCTAAAAGTCCACTTGGTCATCTGTTGCTGTCACTAAATGCTCACCCATTTCACACTGAATAAGTTGCCTTTTTCTGCAGGGGGAGCCCTCCTCCGACTATTCTTTGTTTGTTTTTTTGTTGGTGATGGTTTTTGTTTTCAATACATCCCAACCACAGCTTCCCCTCCCTCCACTCCTCCCAGGACCCCAGTACCTCTCCTCTCCCAAAGAGCCCCAACTCCTCCGTTTCCCTTCAGAAAAGAACAGACCTTTCAGGGATATCCACCAAAGACAACAAAACAAGAAATACTAAGACTAAGCACAAGCCTTCATATCAAGGCTGGGAGAGGCAACCCAGTAGGTATACTGCTAAACATAGCTGCCTTCCAGACTATTCTAAGGAGAAGCCAGCAGAGATGGCTCCCTCCTCAGAATTTGGAGACCATTCATTCTTCACTTATCTTACAGTACCTTTTAGGCAATGTTAAAAACATAACTTTTTTGCAGGGCGGTGGTGGTGCACGCCTTTAAACCCAGCACTGGGGAGGCAGAGGCAGGCGGATCTCTGAGTGTGAGGCCAGCCTGGTCTACAGTGTGAGTCACAAGATAGGTAGGGCTACACAAAGAAACCCTGTCTTGAAAAAAGCAAAAGATAAAAATGAAACCCAACTTTTTATGTGAATGTGTTGTGTTTCTAACACTACAAACTACTGTGTTTCTTAGAGCTCTAATTTTTTTTTAATTTTTATTTTTTGGTTTTTCGAGACAGGGTTTCCTCTGTGTAGTTTTGGTGCCTGTCCTGGAACTTGCTCTGTAGACCAGTCTGGCCTTGAATTCACAGAGATCTGCCTGCCTCTGCTTCCCAAGTGCCGGGATTAAAGATGTGCACCACCAAACCCACCTAGGTCTCTATTTTCTACAGCACCTAGTCCAGCTCCTTCTACAAGCCACCACTGAACTGTTGAATAGAAAGTCAGGAGAAGAACTTGGGATGCCCATATTGCTGGATGGAAGAGGCAATATCTGGCCATAAACAGCCAATTAATTTCACTAAGCTGAAGTCACAAAAAGCTTATTAACATCCCTTTAAAATAGAACAATTTAAAACTTACTGAAACTAGAACTCCAAAATTGATATTTCTGAGGCTGGAGAGATGGCTCAGCAGTTAAAAGCGAGTTTAATTCCCAGCACTCACGTCCAATGGCTCCCTAGCCCCTGCAACTCCAGCTCCAGGGAATCTGGTGCCCTCTTCTGGCCTCCACAGGCACCTGCATATGTGTGGATATACACATATGCACATAAATAAAACCAAAAGTAATTTTTAAAAAAATATTATTTCCAATTCACAGTCATTTATGAGCTTCTAATTGAAAGAAAAAGATAATAATCTACTCTTTTTTCCACAGGAGAAGTGAGTCCACGGGGTACAAACCAATGGATGGCAAGCCTGAAGCCAATGGTATGGCAGGGATTTTAGTTAATATAATTCTGTGTGTGTGTGTGTGTGTGTGTGTGTGTGTGTGTGTGTGTGTCTGCTGTGCATGTGTACACGTGTTCATGTGTGTCCGCTGTGTGTATATGTGTGTGCATGTGTGTGTGCCTGCTGTGCATGTGTACACTTGTTTGTGTGTGTCCGCTGTGTGTATATGTGTGTGCATGTGTGTGTGCCTGCTGTGCATGTGTACACGTGTTTATGTGTGTCTGCTGTGTGTATATGTGTGTGCATATGTGTGTGCCTGCTGTGCATGTGTACACGTGTTTGTGTGTGTCCGCTGTGTGTGTGCATGTGTCTGCTGTGTCTGTGGAGGACAAAGAGTAACCTCGGGCATCTTTCTCAATTGCTCTCCACTGTTCTTTTGAGACAGCGTGTCTTGACTGTCAGGAATTTGTCAGTTTGGCCAGGCTGGCCGGCCAGTGAGTGCCTGTGAATCCTCCTGTCTCTGCTCCCCAGTGGTGGGTTTACAAGCATGCACACAGCCCCGGCTTTTGCACATACCTGCTAAAGATTGGACTCAGTCCCTCACACTTCCACAGCAAGAGCATCACTCACTGAGCCATTCCACAGCCTGAGTGATTCTTGCAAACCCCTTCAGCATTATCAAATGAGCTACTTATTTGTTAACTAAAAATGTATTTTAAGTTTAGATCTAATGAATGAACCAGTGAAGTCATTGTGACTTTACCTATCTATTTATTTGTCTATTTATTTTTACCTAAAGTTTTGCTATATAGCTCAAACTGGCCTGGAACTCATAGTTATTTTGTTTGTTTGTTTGTTTGTTTGTTTGTTTTTTGTTTGTTTTTTGTTTGTTTCTTGTCTTGGCCTATCACATGCTAGGATTACAGATCTATACCACCATACCCACCTGACAATTTTTATGTTTATTTTGTATCTCCGTAGTACAGGTATGATCAAATTATAAAATGACTGTTATAAAGAATAAGTCCTCCAATATCTTTACGCCTAGAATGCATTATTTTTCAGCTTTACTGTTTAATAAAAGAGCTTGTTTTAAGTCACTGAAAAACTAGGGCAAGCTGGTATTTCAAGAAGGCAATAGCCTGGCCTGGTGATTCAGGCCTCTAATCCCAAGTAGTTGGGAGACTGCAACAGGAGGTTTGTAAACTCTAGACTTGTCTGGGTCACAATGTGAGCTGGAAACCAGTTTGAGGGATTTGATGAGACTCTGTCTCAATATAAAGAGGGACTGCGGACTGGACATACAGGTGAGAATTGAGGGCTGGACATACAGGTGAGAATTGGAGCCCTGGCCTAGTAGGTTTGGAGTCCCTGGGCTCAACCTCTAATGCTAAAAGGGAAAAGGGAAGAGAAGGGGGAGGGAGGAAGGAAGGGAGGGAAGGAGGGAGGGAGAAGAGGGCATTAACTGTTCCAGACCTGATGTTCAGACTGTTTTAATGCATACTTCATGTGTGCTTTCAAACACCCATTGCAGAGGGAGGAAGAGAGAGAGAGAGAGAGACAGAGAGAGAGAGAGAGAGAGAGAGAGAGAGAGAGAGAGAGAGAGAGAGAGATCAGTCAATCAATCCTGGCTTTTGTTAAGCATTGACTTTAAACATAGCATTATATCTCTCAATTTTCCTCAAACTTGCAAAAACCAGTTTTTAAAAACAGACCTGCCTTGACTAAATGCCTTTCCCCGTTAAGACTGACCCCTGAACTTCCCCTGACTTCCTTGTAGACTCAACGGAAGAAACGTTTGTCAGAACAATGGTCGAAGAGCTAGACCAGCTTGGCAACCTCCTTTCCCTGAGAGTGCACTCCGTAGAAGAAAAATCTTCTAAAATCAGCAACATCACCATGGAGCAGCGGGTGCCTTCCAAAACCCCGTGATGATGAAAAGATCATTCATAAAACACGAAGCTGCCTCTGCAGAATTCCGCTGGTCAAGTAACCCAAGAAAATTATCCATGCCTGTTCTTAAAGCTCAAAGGACTAGACTCCGGTTTCCCTTTCTTCCTCTTCTCTTACTGTCATGGGCAACACAGATGGAGGTACAGGGACCCTTCTTTGACAGAGAAAAGAAATCCTTGGAGAGCCAATATGAAACAGAGCTGGAGAATTACTAAAAGACATTTTTAACTTGGATCTGAAGCATGGATCCATAGAGAGGTGTTCAGGGCAGGGATGAGATGTACCCAAGCATCAGTGTGGGCTTCTCCCAAGACAGTCACTAGTTGTTGTTGTTGTTGTTGTTGTTGTTGTTGTTGTTGTTGTTGTTTAGGTTTTTTGAGTCAGGGTTTCTCTGTGTCACAGCTCTGGCTGTCCTGGAACTTTGTATACCAGGCTGGCCTTGAACTCACAGAGATCTGCCTGCCTCTGCCTCCCCTCTCAAGTGCCGGGATTATAAGCGTGCACCATCACCACCCAGCAAACACTTAGGTGTCTTTATCACAGGTATATACAGGATTCTGGTGCCTCTCAAGTTATATTTCTAATGGTTACAAGAAACTCCCCTCTTGTTTCTTTAACATTGCTCAAAGGGTGCAGCCTATAACAAGGTTAAGACTTAAAAGACTTCCCTTCTGTAAACAAGGTTGGAAGATGGATTGATGAAGATGTTGTTTAGATTTAGGAGTGAGGAGAGGGTGAAGGTGATACACCATGCTGGTCATAAGTAAGTATGGTTTAGCTTGACAAGATGTCTTTGGGGAAAGTCGTGTACTGTCTCTCAGCCATTTGGGCTTCACCAGAGATTTCTGAAGTTTCTGGCCTTTCTCAGGAGAAAAGGTGGGTCATTCTCTGGAAACAAAAGCATGTTTTTTTTTTTCATCCTTCCTGTGTTACCATAATGTTCCTATCTGTCTACGCTCCCCAATGCTTCAGTAAACCTTTCCAAGAGATGAGACAATCTTGGTAGTTTTTGTTTTTATTTTGTGAACCTTTGGTCATCTCATGAAGAGTTCTTTGTTGCAATTTTTTTCTGAGACAGGTTTCTATGCCTAGCTCTGGCTGTCCTGGAACTCACTTTGTAGACCAGGCAGGCCTCGAACTCACAGAGATCCACCTGCCTCTACCTCCCTGAGTGCTGGGATCAAAGGCATACACCACTACTGCCCAGCACAAATTATTTTTATTATCTGCTTCTTTTCAATTTCCACAGCTGTTCCCCACATGACCATGCCAAGGGTGAAGTAAGAAAACACCGTGCTTTATCTCACAGTCACATTTGCCTCAATAACAGATGAAAGCAGAAAGGGCACTAGCTGTGACCTCAGGTCCCAAATCCCAGTTGACTGTGCAATGACCTGTTTGGCCTTCTATGGGTGTAGAAGTTAATATATCCCTTGATCGCTAGGGTTTGTTCACTCTTCTGATGCTTAGATGATTGGGGAATGTTTTCCATTTGGAACCTGGTTAGCTCTTTTTCCACTTTGTAATGCATGCATCTGTTTCCCCAACCCCATGGCATTAACTAAGCAAACCTAGAACTGCCCCCCTCAAGCAGGACAGGGCTTCTCAATCTTACTGACATCCTCTGCATACAAGACCATGCCTGACACTGTGCAGTGGACAACCATTAACAAAGAACCTCACAACTCATCAGAGGGCAGAGAATAACCATCTGTGCTGGGCAGTGCTCAGCCATAAATGGAACATCTGTATCACATCCCCCGACTCAAAGTTCAGGGAACATCTCAGAAAAGGGAGAAAGACTGTAGGAGCCAAAAGTCATGGAGGACCAGACTGAAACAGTGTCTTTTGGACATGACAGGACCACTACACTCACGAATTCACAAATTCATGGCAGCTGTGGTTGCCCACACAAGATGAGCACGGCATCAGGCCAGTAAACAAACATGAATGAAACCGGGAGGAGCTCACAAACCCCATCCCTAGCTGAGGCACTACTGAGCTGATGGCTTCCAGAAGTAAGAGAGTCGGTTTTCTTTTGGGGTGTGACCCCTACTAGGTAGACCATTCTACAGTGGGTGTCTCCACACCCATCTGTATATGAGCAAATTGGATTCAATGGGTTAAAAAAAAGGGGGGGGTGAATATGATCAAAATACAGTGAGTGCATGTAATAAATTCACAAAGAATTAAAAGTAATGAAAATAATAATAAAAATAATATTGTGCCTGAAAGTCTGATACAACCTTCATTTGGGGAAGTGCAGCTAGGGTTAAAAAAAACACTAGAACATTCAGTTAAAGAAGATTTTTCTGCTTGTGGCCAAATAAGGCAGGCAGCCAATGCAATAACCTGGTTCTTCAACATGCATGATGAGCATCACTGATAAGTTTTAGGCCTCTCCACCATAGCAACAAACCAAATCAGACCAAATCAGGAAAAGCCCAGGTTTAATGGGTAAAGTGTTCCTGGGCGATTACCCGCCCAGCAGAGAGGAGAAGGAGACAAGACCAGAGAACCACAAGTCTGTTTTCTGGGATACCATTTATATATCTCCTATGGTAGTGGTCTTGAGCCTCTCTGGGGGAGGAGCTGTGTTTGGCAGGCTCTGAAGGGGCGGATTTGGGGAGGAACTATGTGAGGTGGAGCTCCCACCCAAACATTCCAGACTCTTTGGGTATAGGGATGCCAGGGTGCCAGGGTGCCAGGAGTTGAGGTGGAGCTCCCATCTAAACAATCCCTGCAGGACTTTAACCGGAGTAGAGACCACATGGAATCCAGAACAGAAGCACTCGCTCCTCTGAGGGTGCATCTCTGTCTTGGTTGTGGTTTTTTCCAACTCCCATGTAATGTGATTGACTCCAATGCAGAGACAGTTTCTTAAGACCCTGGCATAGCTGGTTGTTCCCTTGGCGGGGTCTTTTGTCCTGAATGACCCCAATTGTGATGCTCAAAGCTATTCATCACAGAGTGGGAGCTAGGTTCAGTCGGGTTAGGAGGCTACTCAGTACAGAACTACAGCGGCAATAGCTCATGCTTATCAGGTGGGCTTAAATACACTTTAAACACATTAACCAATCGAATATTTCAAAACTACAAGTTCCATGTTTCATCTTTAGTTTATATATAAGAAAACAGTTGTTCAAAGAGATGAAGGAATTTCCCAAAGCCTGCACAGCTGTTCTATAGTGGGACCTAGATTCAAATCCAAACCTCCTCTTCACCCATGGTGACCAGAGTCCTTGCATTTATCTCTAGAGGGGCAGAACTGATACGATGAGTATATATTCAAAGAGAATGTATTAATTGTCTTCCACAATTCAGTCGGGGCAGTCCAGCTGTGGCAGTGTTCACACTGAAGAGGGTAAGAACTCGGTAACTACTTGGTGCAAGAGGCGGGCTGCCTCAGCAGTCCTAATCTGCTGCTGGAAGACTGGAGGACTCCTGGAGAGCCGCTGGTCTTCAATCCATGTGGGAAGGCCAAAGGAACTGGGTTAAGACATCAGCAAACACCCTGACAGCAGGGGAGCGAAAGCTGTAAGAGCAAAAGGGGAGACACACCGGTCAGCAAGAGACACGCTGGGGAGACGCACCGGTCAGCAAGAGACACGCTGGAGAGACACACCGGTCAGCAAGAGACACGCTGGAGAGACGCACCGGTCCGCAAGAGATGCAAAGCAAGCAGGCAAAAAGCAACACCTTGTACTTCCGCCAGGGCTCTGAGAAACCCTTGGATGAGCCTGGCTCTCAACAGAGGAGGAAGGTAGGAGAGCATGAAGAGGATGTGGAGGAGGAGGAAGAAGAGGAGGAGAAAGAAGAGATTAGCTTCAAAAAACAATTTAAAGTTAAAAGAAAGCTAGGTTATATAACAGAGAAAGGGGAATAATGGGAAAGGAGGTTTGGGTGGGGAAACATACGGGAGAGCAGAGGAGAGGGTAGAGGGAAGGATAACTAAAACTAGGGTGTTTAAAAAGGCCCCATGAACTGCCTCAAATAAACTAAATAAATAAGTAGGTAAATATAATACAGCACATAAACAGGCATTAAGAATAGAAGTCACGAGATATTCAGACCCGGCGGCAGCTGGCAGAGACATTCAGGCCCAGCGGAGGCCCACAGAGGTAGACGGGCCCAGCGGCGGCCCGCTGAGGTAAACGGGCCC